GTGCTTGTATCCAGTCATCAGCCCAGATTATTCTCGTTGTCCCTAGCCAGTGCTGAGAGTGTTTTTCCACCTCTAAACCACTGAGCCTGCCTGTTCCCATCTGAATGGCTTGCCTGTACTGCCTCTGAACTCCTAAACCTCTGAGCCTGTCTGTTCTTGTTCTGGTGTATTATTCTAATCTTTTATCAAACAACTGTTGTGTACATACTCATTACATGGAGACGAAGATCTCAAAAAAGGAACGAACCAATCCCTGATTTCATTTATTCTTTTAGAAATGTACCTGCTAGCTCCTTAAGAGCTTAGAGGGGAAGTAAAGAGACTCTAAATAATACATTTCAAAATAAAAGGCCAAAGGTAGATATGAGGTGGGGGTGGGGGGGGGGTTTCGAAAAGAAAAAATATTTATATATGTAAAAAACCAAGAGTTAATGAGGCAAGAGTGAACACTTATTGAGAGAAGGTTGTGATATAGTCTTGTCTAAAGCACCAGCCAGTTTTAGGAAATTAATTTCTTCTCATTCTGCTCACAGATACCAACACACTAAAAGTGGTGACCTTTGCTGAAAATTTTTAGCATTAAATCTACATTAAAGGGTTTTTAAGCAAAGACCCTTTTTCCCATATTAAAAAATTATTAAACTGGCGGGGGGTTTTTTCAGTTGTCTATTTTTCTGACTGAGAACACAGTGATATTGGCTGAGCTAAGGTGTTATGTAGAAAAAAAGTTTGATAAGCTGCTGTTGCAGCGGCATTCGAACCAGTGCTAAAATTGGACACAACCAAGGATTGGGATGCAGATAAATTTAAATTCTATAAAGAATGACCAGAGAACAACAGACTATTTTCAAATGGCTAAAAAGCACAACGTAGCTTGTTTATTATTGTAAATGAATCGTTGTTAATTAATTAATAATGGTGCTTGTATCCATGTGACATCAATGAAATAGAATCATTTTGAAATGTGAAAAAAATGAAACACTAATCTGTAAAACTTTCATAGGGAAGTGTCTGCTTTTTACCTTAAAAAGACAAGTTATAAGCTTTAGCTATAACATGGTACTGTATCTCTTGCAAAGGTATTTTCAATCTAAGCTGCATAAAAGCCGGGTCCCTTATAAATATAACAATCTATAAATAACGGGTACAGAAGTACATTCCCATGATACAGCATCACCAAACATGGGAAGACTACCATAAATATGCTTTTATTTTGAGCGTAGAGGTAATAATATAATAAATAATAAAGCTTAACATGGTATTGGTTATGCATTGTCTGGAAGTCTATGAAAGAGGCATTGTCCATATGACTTTGGGAATTCTAATAAATCAGCTTTAATCTCCTTGGATCAATGCATACATCTGTAACTGTTGATACAGGACTGTTTAAAATAAAATCTTAGTCTGTTCAGCTACTGTAAGTCCATGTCAAACAGAATCCTCACTGAGATGATTACACACTAGCAGGTGGTCACAAAGCCACAAGCACAACACCAGTAAAAAGCAAATAAACAGTTGTGTAAGAAGTGCTTGTGCTGCATGTTTACTTTGCAGCTGCATCTTTTCGATTATCATGGAAGGAAGATTAGCATTAAAAAGCTCTGATGTCGTTCTTTCTAGCAGGTCAGCTCAAAGCCAAGCCGGGATAAAAGATCTTTGGCAAGATCTAGCAACCAAAAAAATAAAGAATAAAAAAAAAAAATGATATATATATATATATATATATATATATATATATATATATATATATATATATATATATGGTTTTCCTGGAGCAAGGGTATTTAAATTTAAAGGGCAAAGTAATCTCAAAACCAAACGATTTTATTTTTAGATTTCTTTTTTCCCTGAGTTCTTTCTGACGCAGGCTCCTTTCACAAAAAAGAAAGAAAAACTTAAGCTCTGTGCATTTTTATAAAATATCTGTGGTGGTAAGAAATATTTTAAGCAAATACATTGGTTTAACAACTCTTATTTGGTGAGTGAGGCAGTGATTGTAATATGAAACATACATCATTGATCTGATGTCATATTCTAATCTAATCAATGGTGATAACCATTGATATCTGTGGTGGGAATATTGTGATAATCAACTGCGGAGGCGTTAAAAAATGAGGCCAGATCATAATCATTACTACAACATCCAAGAATAATATGGCTATATTGTTTTCTCAATATATTGCATCCTTTGTTTAAAGTTTTGTTTTTCATTAGATAACATTTTTGAGTAGAAGTTACATTGATGTTCAATGAGTCATGACTTTAACCTTACAGAGGGAGGTGAAGATTAGAGTGATGGTAATGAGGCCATTACCAAAGATACATTCTTGAACTGCAGAGCAGTTGTTAGATGTATCTTTGAATTTAATAAAATTTTATACAGTACAGACCAAATATTTGTACACACCTTCTCATTCAAACAGTTCTCTTTATTTTCATGACTATGAAATTTGTAGATTCAAACTGAAGGCATAAAAAACTATGAATTAACACATGTGGAATTATATACTTTGAGTTGAATGCCAAGAGTGTCTCAAGCAGTAATCAAAGCAAAATGAGGCTCCTTTGAAAATCTAGAATATAAGACATATTTTCAGTTGTTTCACACTTTTTTGTTAAGTATATAATTGCATATGTGTTAATTCTAAGTTTTGATGCCTTCAGTGTGAATCTTAAATTTTCATAGTCATGAAAATAAAGTCTTTGAATGAGAAGGTGGGTCCAAACTTTTGGTCTGTACTGTATATGATCACTTTTATTAATAAAAAAGGTTCATTACCATTTTATTGCCTTGTTTTTGCCCATATAGTAAAAATATTCTTGGCAAACCATTCATCAATCTGTCATGTACTGTATCACCCTTCACCTATTTCACCTTATAAAAAATGCTCTGGAGACAAAAACGGCATATCAGCAATATAAAACATAAAAACAGTGCACATATATAAGCCACATTTATCCTGGAGGCTGAATAATTTACCATTTTCACAAAGCTCAAGACAAAATACTATAGTGTAAATAACCTGTAGAAAATAAATCAATTAATTTACCCATTATTTGCATTTACGCTGGACACGATTCCTGCAATTTTGTTGCCACTTTAAGGAGTATGAGTCATAGCAGGAGCAGGTTTCCAGGCCAGGAAACCAGAGAGCAAAAGAGGTACCGAAAGAGAATCCACTCTGATGTCAGGAGACAGATCCAAGGTATTTTAGCAGGCAGAATACAGGAATCAGTCCAAAAACAGATGATGCAAACAGAGCAGAAACAGGGGCAAAGCAAAACTCGGAAGACCAATGTCAGAAACTTGTCAGGATCAGGAATTCAGAAACGCACAGAATCGCTAGAGTTACTCTCACACACAGCTCAGACCATCTGGGACCAATGGCTGGGAACAGGCAGCTTAAATAGAGGCAAGAACGGGTGGATCTGATGAGAGACAATGAGTGCTGGGCAAGGCTAAACCGATGTGAAAAAGGAGCCAAATTCAGCATCCAGATCCATGATAGTGACAGTAAGAGGTTTTGGATATTTCTAATGATACTCCCACCTGTGGCCAAAACACAGAACTGCAGCAGTGTGATGCTCAGTCTTGTAGCTTGTGGTTATACTTAACAAGATTATACTTTTTTTTACTTTTTTCAACTTATGTGAAGCTGGCATTGTTTTCAGTAGCTTCTGAGTATCTACAAAATCCATCTTGAATATAATACTTTGAATGTTTGTTAGGTCGAACCCATTCAACATAGATGCACTTGAAGTCACATCTGCCAAACAGTGCGGGAACTTCCAACCCGGATTATGTTCAGGAAGAATTGGCTACAGGCTTCTAGATGCATCGGCACTGAACTCCTGAGGTGTCAGTCTGTTTATTAAATTATGTTTTAGTTGTAAAGAGTCAAATAAAAAGGAAGTTTAGAGATGTTTTCAGCAAAAAATTACTTAATTTCTCTCTATAAAAATCAACTGCTCAGTAAAACATTGTATTTATTTCTGGATGGAGCTTTGATTGGAGATATTTGGTATGGGAACATGAAAACCATAGTAGGATAATGCAGAGACATATTTAAAACCTTAAATGTTGATTGAGATAGCTGCTGTACAGTATGTTGTTGTCATGGTCTTGGTGCGGATTTTTGGCTTTTTCATTTGCTCCTGGTCACCTGTCCCATTGGCCCGGCAGGTGATTAACGCAGATTGTTTCCACCTGGTTCCCCAGCTATTTATGCTGTCTGTCAGCCTTCCGTCAGCACCAGATTATTCAAGCTGTTGTGAGAGTAATTTTCAACAGTGAGTTAGCTGTTTTGCCTTGCCCTTGTCTGCTCTGTCTGTTTTGGCTTTTTAAATTTTTTCCTGGACTCTGCTGGTTACCGATCCTGGACTGTTTCACTGACATCGGCTTGGATTCCCCTCACGGACACTGTTGCTCCCTCAGCGTCAGCTGGCATCAGCTCATCTTCACTTGGGGTTCGGGATGCAGCTACGGCATCAAATGAAGGTCTGAACTTTGTATCAGGTCAGTGACTTTTGCTCCAAGTCGTGATCAGCCCGACATTCCTGTTACTGACCTGTGTTTCCTATCTTTGCAGAGTATCTGCCCCGCTGATGCCTACCTGCTCACTGTTAACCTTCTGTTTAAAAATAAAGCTGGTTGGAAATCATCCTGGTCTGTTTGTCTGAACATTGGGTCCTAGTTTCTGTGGCTATAACAGTTGTAAGTTCATGCAATACAACAAAATTGAAATGACCTATATACATCCTCTCAAGAATGCACAGAGCGGAACCTCTTACTTTGATTGAAAAGTCATTAACCAAATATAACTCTGGATATATATTTTGTTTTTTTTTCATTATTTAAAGCACTAAATATATTAGAAAACAGACACACACACACACACACACACACACACACACACACACACACACACACATATATATATATATATATATATATATATATATATATTTTTTTTTTTTTTTTTTTTTTCGTATGATCTTACTTGAATGAAGGGGAATAAGAGGCCCACGGCAAAGTTTGACAACCAGTTTACAGTGCCAGCAATCATGAATGCAGCAGGTCTGTATGACTGTTCAAATAGTTCCCCAGTCAGGATAAATGGGATGCCGCCTGAAGGAGAGAAAATAGATATATGAACCATTAGTTACAACAAAGTCCTGACAGCAACTAACAGAAACAAATGGCATTAATTCAAAAAACAAACACCTCCAGGGACTTTATTTTTTCCTCTTACTGCAAGCATAAGCATGAAGTCTGTTGCAGACCCTGAAGTTGGTTTTATACTTTTTTCTGACTATAATGGCTCAGAACTTGTTTTGCAAAACAACTCAGTTGCATAAGAATGCTCTTCACTTCATTTTCCAGAGTTCACCTCCAAATGCCTGCTGTTCTGAAATAAAGTTAGACAGAAATATGGTTGCAATTATTTTAAAAACCTTGACATATCGGGGGAGATGATGATTAAATTCCTCCTATATTGAAATATAATAAGTGTGTTTTGTTTAAGGAGCATGTATTTAAAGGCAACTCCAGCAGAATATATGTTTCTGTCACTTATGTAGCTGCTGTGGTGTTAAAATAAAGTAACGTAACATTTGAGTAGACAACCAATGTCTTTGTTTGTGTAGGAGCAGATTAAACATATTCTTTTAACCAATAAATGGCTATTTAGAAAAAGAAATGTCAAAATGTTAAAGTTAAGAAACGTCCAAAGTTGAACTGCCTCCTTAATGAAAGAATTCAAATGCATTTTGTTTGTACAAATGGATTTTTTTCCAGAATACCAAATTCCCATTCAATTGATTTAAACGAAACAAAGAGAAAGATATGCGTCAATTTTCTTATGCACAGTAAAGCAACTTTTTTAGTGATTCTTGAAGTTCATTTAGATGCGAGTCTCCATTGAATGTATATGTAAAACCTAGGCTGATTTATAATTTTCTAGGTTCAGAGTACATGATCTAAGCCATAATTAATATAAAACTTTTTTTATCCGACTTATCCAATTAAAATACCACACGTTGCCCAATTGAAGGCTTGAAATAACACATATTTCAATACTGGCTGTGTTACCCTTGTTACAGAGATTTCTCTGAATGACATGCCGCAACATTATGTAGTGTCGACAAAAAAGTTTAATCTTCAAAAAAATTTAAATACTGCATCAAAACATCACATGGTGTAATTATCCAGGGGATTCATCAGGTTAAAAGCTCTCTATATGACATAGAGGCTGTGAATTTAGTCCCGGCTCTTTATACTAATTATTTTTTTAAATCTCCATTTAAACCTGATATGTATGATTTGTTTTGTTTCTATTTATTTCTTAACTTTTCGGCCAAATATCCTAATTTCATTCAATATGTCAGTGGACAAATAATACATGTTTATATTTGTATGTTTGTATTCTTAAAGATGTAGCGGAAGATTTTTGTGAATTTTTAAAAGCACCAGCCGTTTCCACTTTAAAAAGAAAAATGCACATGCACAACCCTGCACCCGCTCCTGAGAGGGAACACCTATTAAACGTGTGTGAGAGCAGTTGTGAACCCATTTCTCCTCGTTCACGTTCTGTTTAAAAGTTGCTGTTTGCATCGCTCATACAAGCTTACTTTCCAAAAGAAGATTAGCAATTTTTCCACTATGTCAGACTGACCACCGGTAAGTGAAAATTGGGACGTGGCACGCCTTACGTAAACATATCACCAGAATAATTGACTATTAGGAGGACCACTTAGTTTGATGATCCATCGGGAAAAATAACATCCTCCACTATAACTTTTACCAAGAACCGTTTTGAGCACTTCAGTGTAGCGTGGATGTAAGTTTCAATGTGTTCATCACATCACCCTTGAATTTTTACATCAAAACTCAGTCACTCTAAGGAGTAATCATTTTTATTAATGGAAACAATTTCCTTTAATTCTATCATTACTACTAAGAATAACACATTGCTGACAAAGAGTCATTTGGCTCTCTCCAACAGTACAAAATATGCATGTTAGGTTGAAAGCAGACTATCAATTGATCTTAAATGAGCACGCCAGAGTATTCATATCTGTTTTGCCTGCATACAAGATTTGCAGGCATTTGTTGGTGTACCCCCCTGCCTCTCGACTATTGACTAATGTGATAATCTTCAGCCCCCTTGATCCTGGAAATGATTAATTAGGTGCTAAAAAGTTGGTGATGGGTGGGGAGAGTTGCAGCCCAGTGATGAGAGCAGGGATAACCTTTGACAGCTTCAAATCCCCTTGTTCATATCCCACAGAATGGTTCCATGAGAAAATTGCTTAGACCCAGAATGCAGCCCAACTGCACAGTGACAGCACACTGCTCCTTAAGGAATGGTTTAATTGAACAGCACAACCTTTATAAGAATTTAAGGTTGCAATGACAAGTTTGAAGTAGTTTTAAAGAGTTATTTTTTCTCTTATCTGGTAATCAGGTTTATGCAAAAGCCCAGTTTGATTAAAGAATGACATAATAATGATCTATTTATCCACATAGGTCCCTTTTGCAGGATCTATTACAGTCTGCTTTTAGTTGAAGTACCTTTGAAAGTAGCTTTTTAGGATAAACAGCATATTCCCAGATTTTTCAGAGTGGAAAAGAGCAAAAGTAACATCTACAGCAAACCAACAGTTTTTTTTCCCTATGCAGTAAAATAGATCTACAGGTTTACGTATCAGATACGGTTTTTAACCTTCAAAGGACAGCACCCCAAGATTTAAATTGAAAGAATGTCGTTAGGAACCAAATTTATATTAGACTGCTATGATAATGTTCCTTCTTAAAACAATAATAAACTGCAAGTGAAGATAAAGAGAAGAGTAAAAAAGCTAACATCAGCGCAGCACAGTTTAAAAGTAGAACTGGCAGCACTCTCTTAAGTTTTGGATAGCCGTTTAAAATGTTTCTTAAAAAAACCTTAAACCCATTATTTGATCATTTCTATTATATATATATATATATATCAATTCATACCTTTATCTTAAAATATTTCAATACACTTTTTTTGTCATGCTCCTTATTCTGTTATGTGGCATAGTGTCTTTAATATTTTTGTGTTACTAGGCCTATACTTTCATGAACATAACCAAGTCAAATCCTAACTCAAAGCTTAAACCTTCACAATTCTATCTGTAAATGTCTGTGAACAAACAGAAAATGTGACCTAAATTAAACTACAAATGTTGGGAAAAACTAGTAGTAGCAGATAGCCATTTCCACATTCTTGAGCTTGAGAACTGAACTCCTTCTGGACAAGGCAATAGTAGAGGTGTACCACAGACACCCTTGCAGCATTAACTGCTGTGAAAGGTGCTTCTAGATGGCTGAAAATTAATCTATTTCAAATGTAATCAGTTCACACAGTTCAGGAGTGCACACTAGAAAAGAGACTTTAATTCAATTTTTGACATTCCTAATAATTTCATTCATATGAATTATCTGTAATCAGGATTGTGTGTTATCTGATGGATTCGAAATAAGCCTGGAGGAGTATTGGTATATGGGAATAACAGCGTTTTATGCACTGCAAAGCGTTTCAACATACGCTATATGCCCACCAATATACACATCTTCTTGTAGAAATGTACAGTTCTAAATTAATATATATTGCAGGTGTATTCACAACCTTATAATCGATTGACATGACTACCTGTACACTGGTTAACAGCAGATAAGCCTAGATCGCAAAAGAAAGGGCTTTGATCATGAACTGAAGTAAGAAGCTCAAACAGATAAATCTCTTCAAACCTTAGCATTCATTTCTATCTGCATGTCATTCATTGTTCCAAATTTGCTCCTTCACAAAGAGATAATGAGCTACAAACCACACAGGCATTTTCAGCAGAACAAAAAGAGGTATGGCGAACATAAAGGCTTTGCATGTGCTTGAAAATAATTGCATGTGAGCATAAAGCAACCCATTCTTTGAACAAGATGATGCTTAATAAAAGTGGACAGCTGATTAAAACCTATTGTGTATTCATGCATGCAGTGTTGATCAGTTTGGACAAAGCAACTCTCCTCATTTCCAGCAACTATCCAATGAATTCAACATCGTTGATACCTTAAAATAATATCATCCGTCCAGCCAACTGCTATAAAACATAGATTGGTGGACTTGACCTTGTGGATTTCATGGAGAAGTCCATTTGCCATCTTCTGCTCCCTTCTGAAGTACCTTTTTGATCCTTTTTGGTCTTCCTTATCAATTCATAATGGGTTTAAAGTAAAGCATTAAAAAATTTGTAATGCAGATTTAACTTCTACTTAAAGGCACAGTGGAGGATGTTCTTTTTCCAGGGGGATCATAAAAAATAAGTGGTCCTGTCAATTGTCATTGTCATTCAGGTGACATGTGCTCGTCCCCACTTGCACTTACTGGTGGTGAGTCTGACATAGTGGAAAAATTGAAAATCTTCTTTTGGCATCTTTTCAAAAAATCATGAAAATTCTCCACTATACCTTTAAAAAATAAAATACAGAATATAAGTCAGTCTTTTTATCAATATATAACACATTTGTATTTCTGAATAGAAATACAAATTTCTGTATTCTTAACTGTGTAAGTTTTGACCCAAATATCAGCTTAATTTGAGATATATTCAATAATTTCCAGATTAATTTATACAGTAGCACTTGCCACACATTTTTGAAAAGGGGCTGTCCTTCTGAAAAACTAACCTATGTAATGTGAGAAAGTGAGCTGCCCGGAAGCAAGAGGGAGCAAGATGCTTTTACCCTTTTCCTCCTAGAGTAAAAGTTTTCATGGTTAAGGGAAGCAAAAAGAGGAAACTATCTCTGAGGAGGCCAAAAAGAGCAGGCAAGACAGACAGGAATCGCTCTTTGAGTAAAACCAGAGTGATTTGTGTTTAATTTTAAAAAATCCCCATTTTTTGCACTGTTATTAGACTAGTACATTATCAATACCTACTTTTTGTTTTTACATTGTTAGGATAATGTTTTAATATTCATGTATGTGCTTCTTAAACCTTTATATTACATGCCTGTGTTTCATGTTAAGGCTTATTTTTTCCTATGCAGTATATCTGATTTGGACAAGATTTGTAAATGGAATGGGAGCATACTGATGTCTTCTC